TGGGATACTGGACACGGTGGACGGGCAAACGAAGGACAGGGAAACGGGACACAGTGAACAGGGATACAGCGGACTGGGATACGGGACACGGTGGACGGGCAAACGAAGGACAGGGAAACGGGACACAGTGAACGGGGATATGGGATACAGGACACAGTGGACAGAGATACGTGACACTACAGATGGGGATATGGGGCACGGATGACAAGGATACAAGACACAATGAACAGGCATATGGGACAAGGCCGATAGGGATGCAGGACACGATGGATGCCGCTATGGGAGACGGCGGGCGCGGATACTGGACACAGCAGCAGGACAGGACAGAAGGGCGGCGCTGACCTTGCCTTTGTCCCGCATGGATCCCTTCCCCAGGATGGACATTTTTGCTCCGGTTTCCTCTTGTAATCTTTTCATAGAATTCCCTCGAGGCCCCAGTAGCTTGCCGACGAAATTAAACTGTAATGAGAGAAGGGAAAACAACACTGAGGCGGTCTGCATGCTGGAACGGTGGTCTGTAGGAGAATGGTCTGCGGGGTTCCCTGTCATCTGAGATGGGGGCATGCATGGGGCCCCATTGTCTGGGACAGCAGTCTGCATGCATGGCCCCTGTCATCTGGGGTGGCAGTCTGTGTGAGTGGGGCCCCATCATCTGGGGAGGTGGTGCGGATGTGTGGGGCCCCATCATCTGGGGAGGTGGTGCGGATGTGTGGGGCCCCATCATCTGGGGAGGTGGTGCGGATGTGTGGGGCCCGTTGTCCCTCGGTTCACCGCAGAGCAGCATCGTGATTGTTTTCATATTTTGCCGACAGGGATTAAAATCGATATTATTTTACACGCCTCCAGTCCATAAACGCAGTAAATAAATACATTTCCATCAGGATTTGAACTGCACATCTCACAAAACCGTGTGATAAAACCTGTCATCTGGCCCAGCGCTGCTCCTCATATATATGTATATGTAAAATCCTTTTTGGTATTACATTTGAAAATGAATTAATTCAGATGGGCTTCCATCTGCTGCAATGAAGCTTGCTGTTAATGTTCACCTTCCTCTGTGTGTTCCGGTGGTGGTTCATTAACCACCATGCCCCCTTCAGGCGGGCTTCAGAATGGCTGCTAGCCGGGAGCATGGAAGGCATCGTCATCAGAGTGGAGGGAATAAACTGGCCTATTAAAGTTCTTGCGGAGAATCCAGGGGTCACATTTTGGATAGTAACAAAAAAATGAGATAATTCCCAGTGGGAAATTGAGCAACACTATCCAGATAAAGAGCAATCAAATGTGGGCCTGCGGCTGTGGGAATCACTTTGGCATGACTGCCCACTTGTGGGGCACAGAAGTGGCACGTGATGGCCCCATCCTGCTGTCCCAGCATTCTGAAATCAGAGGTATGGTATTGATGGCATCTGATGGACGTGCCGAAGGTTACCCGCGGCCTCGTCACGGGCATTCAGCTTGTCCGGACAGTCGAATGCTGGTCCCTGCTTCTTGAGCCATTTGCAGCATTTAGGAATTGGGAAGAAAACAAGGCCTTGCCAAAAGCCCAAAAATCCCCAAAATCCGCCAAATCCCAGCACCAACAGCCCCAGAAGAGCTGGTACCCCACTCGCACTTCAACCTAAACCTCTGTGCCTTTCAAACACATCCCTCCTGCCTAACAGTGATTTGGAATATTCTGCCAGCGGCTCAGCTTTAAAACGCGTGTTTGTGTGACGCTTCAGGGAGCCGGTGACTTGAGTGTGCGGTAGGACATCGTCACACACCTGACACACCGAGGCACGGCCTGTGCCTGCGTGAGAGCGCTGTGCCATAAATAACATAAAATCAGCCCCGGAGGCTGCAGAGGTGAAGGAGGCAGGACAAGACCCGCGGAAATGAGTGTGGCCCGTGAGCCACTGCACGCCGCGTGTCGCATGCCGGGCGTGTCGCATGCCGGGCGTGTCACTGTGGAAAGGACACCGTGCGCTGAGAGCCGCAGGGGGCCGATATGACCACCGTGCTGCTCCTATTTGCACTTGTCATATATGATAATATTATATAATATACGCTTAAAACCATGGCAGCCTCTGAGCTTCGTGCCATGGTTCCACCCGCTCGCAGATGTTCTCCAAGCCGTCCCGCTGTGTCAACGCCGGTGGATTCAGCAGGCCTGCTTTCCGGAGCCTTCTGCCAAGCGGCATGTACGACCCCCGCCGGAATATGGCCACGCCGGTGCCGGGGAGCAGATAAGAGCCTGAGCAGCTGTGCACGCCCGCAGCCGAGGCTTCTGGGAGATCGCTGTTTATCCCCATCTTATTCGGCTGGCGGCAGGCTCTCCGTGGGTGCCATCAAAGCGGAGTGTGAGGGGAGCTCTCCGGCGGGCCAGGTCGGCAGCGGGAGCACGTAACAAACACCCCCCCTGGGCCAGGGGGTGCTTACCGGCACGGGTGCCAGAGCCAGGGACAAGGTGAATCTTATTTCCTTTTTTCTGACACGAATATCCCACATCTGGCTGAAGGCCTTCGAGCAGATGGGCACGTTGGCTGGAGGCTGCTGAGAGGAGGTGCCTTTTTATAAAGTTAATGAATGTCTGAAGGACCCTTCAGCCCAGCGAGGGGGGGGGAGAGAGAGAGACAGAGAGAGGAGGGGCTGCCGAGGGCGAGGTTCAGTGTTAAACGCAGTTTGAGACACTCGCACGATGCTTTGAGTGATGATGGGCAGACAGGAGATCTGAGCTGGAAGACGCACTGAAGAGCGACCTGACTGTGTGGAGCTTGTTAGCCATTTCTTAATGCATTCATTAGGCCACGTGTTCGTGCAATCGCAAGTCCACTTCTCTCAGGTAATGAGATGGTGCAGTAACATGTCATTCACATTCTCTCTTGATGCAAGCCCCAGTAGTCGTGCTCTAGAGTAAAAACAGCAACGACGGACGGCGCCATGGCGGGCAACGGTATTTAAACGCCCCTCACTGGCGTCTGGGTGCAGTCACATGATCTCCCTATGAGAACCTCCTGCTGAGAACCTCCATCTGAGGCAGAGATTCGATTATTGGGGGAACACTTCAAAGGCAAAGGGTGGAGGACATTCTTTTTTTTGAGGCATAATTTAAAAAACGACACCGTCTGTTTTTTTTTTTTTAAGAGGAAATTGATATTTTTAGTTTTCATCATCCTTTATTTAAACAAGTCGGATTAAAAATGTTTCAGATTGCGTGACACACGATGGCGCCGGGTAAAGTGTGACTGATGGACGAATGTTGGAGAAACACGGGAGGCCAGCCTTTCCGAATAATTAATCAATTTCTACATAAACGCTTTTAAATTTTAATTGTTTTTGAAGAATGCTGCACACCCATGGAGGCAATTAATTAAAATGTTTCCCTCAGCTCTCTAGTTAAGTCAGCGGGTGTTTCCATCGAGAGATGAGACTGAAAAAGCTCCCTTTGGTATCACGCTACAAACACGGTCCATCTTTTGATCTCCAGACATTGCGAATCTGCCACCATAAACAGCTCCAGGGAAACAGGGCCGCAGAAATCGATAGGCTCTCCTCTCGCCTCTTCAGTAAAAGCCATCTGCTGCATACTTCACGACCTGTGGAAGCTCTTTGGTTGTGGCTGAGCTGAGTGTCACGTTGAAAGGGCCGTTTGTGCTTAATGGAGGCCAAGAACGTCAGCATACACAGAATGATCACACTTTTATCTGACTTTTCGTTATACCATTCTTTGTATTCTAGGTGCTTGTTTTATCAGAGTGATGACAAGTAGATCAGGCTTGTTCACCTTAAAATAAATATTCTAAAAAAAATGCTATAATTTTAGGTGTTAATTCATAGCACCAACTATGCATAACAATGATTACTCAAGGCCAGTTATTACTGTGAAAAATATTACTACTATCAGCAGTTGTTAGGCTGAAATGTTTCCAAGCTGATGGAGTTACTTATGAATGAAGTTTTTGCTCCATCCAGTCTGATAAATTGTCCCCAGGCTTTCATTTTTTCTCCAGATTGAGCTGAATGCATGGCTGATCTTTTGAGATGATGTCATACACGTAACACTATTTTCCTACAGCTGCCATATCAGATGTGTCAATTCAACCAGTTCAATCATAGGTTCAGCATCCAAGCAGATCTATACATGTTCAGTGTCTCATAGCAGAATGCAGCTGTGCTTTGAGGAACCCTGACACGATCATTGCATGGTCTCCCCCCCCCGCCCCCAGACACACACATGTTTGTATGGGGAAAAACCCTAATCCTAACAATGACATACTTAACCTAGGGCTGGACGATTTATCGATTTCAAATCGAAATCGCGATTTGAAACAACGCGATTAGCAAGTCGCAAAAATTGCGATTTAGGATATACATTATATAGCACGTCCGACCCAGGGTTTAATTAAAACTGCTGTGAGAATAGTTTTACAAATTCATGCTGCGCTCCCTGTGTGACAGTCATTATCACCAATCACAAGTGCCGTGCTTCTTGCCTGCCAGTCAAGCTCACCAATCAGAAGTGGCCCAAGAAGGCGTATAGGCCCACAAACGGCAAACACGTGAAACCCAAGGAAAATGTTACATGCGCGGTGCGGAAAAATACTGATTCCATTTCATGGTCCGAGATTGTTTCAGAAAGGTCCTATCATCAATAAAACAGGCGAGCTCCTTTTAAACACCAGCTGCAATATACTTCAGCGTATCATACCTTTGGTTTTTGTTAATAGGCAATAGCATTAGTATACCGCTAACCCATCAAAACAACAATGAGAGTAATTCTCACAGCAGCGGAGTCGGTGACCTCTAAAAACGCCGTAAAGTATACAATACAGTCGTGTTTATGTCATATATGTTTTTGTGGTTATTAAATTTCAGTGTTTCCAAAGATTAATCCCACAACAGTAATAAAATAAAAGTCTTGCTTTAACTTAAATACTAGAAGAATAGATCGCTTTAATCGCTATTACAGTTAATTGGGTATGGGCACGCGGTCTTATTTAGAAAACATACAAAAAGAGACGCATATAATTTTTAATCATTATATTTGTCCGGGTAACAAAGCAAAGGAATGATAAGCTGCTTCAGTCGAAAGCTGCATTTTACTTCTCATTTAAAATAAAATGCAGGGTTGGCAACTTTGGTCAGCTGCATGGAGTGAGATTTTCTGTTCTCTGTTCTGCACACACATTTACATGTATGTAAGTTTTATTACCTTGCAAATAGTCTGTAGGGTTTGCAAACAGCTGTAACGTACGTTTTTGATGCAGCTAATTTTAAGTTCAGAATGGAATATAGATTTGCCGTAAGATTTCTTGAATGAGAGTCTGAAAGAGTTTGCAACCATGAACACATACATTTTTTGTTTCACCTGAATTGATTTGTATAGAAAATTACCGTATACAGTTGTCAAAAAGCGGAAACTTCGAGCAACATGAAATCACCAATAAACGATTTCTATTTATTCAACATTTTATAAA